ACAAGGCAGCCTTGCCCCCGAGGGCTATGGAATGGGTGGGTGGGTTATGCAGGGGGCTCCCAGGGCACCAACTTGGAGGTTGCACTGCCCCCAGTCTTGCGGGAACCTAAAAAGACTAAAGGGAGGGTCCCAGCAGTGGGAACTCAGGAATCAGCCCCCAGAAGTCTGGCTGGGTGCACACAGATGTCATGAAGGTCCCTCAGCCAGGCTTTCTGAGGCTTCATCGAATATGGGCCCTGGGAACCCGCTGGGATCCCCCAGGATTTGTCTTGAGATGAAGAGGACCAAGAGGCTGATGATCTTGACAGGTGGCTTAGAAAATTCTGGCTTCTGTCCCAGAGGCTGCACAAGGATGTAACAGTGAATAGCACCCCGAGGAATTATGAGGTAGAGGCTGTCAGAACCACCGGAGATGCTCATTCAAGTGCATACTCCAATGCCCAGACCTGTGGGCTTCTGAGATGTGTTACAGGAACTAGATTATACTTATTCTGTGAATCTCCCAACGCTGGACACATGGGAGGTGCTCAGAGGTTCTCGCCCCACCGCAGACTTTACCGACAGGGACCTTACAGGGCAGAGGGTCAGGCCAGAGCTGGACTTACCTCTAACACTGCCACCTGCCCAGCCAGTGCCCTTCCTACCACCCGAGGAGGCAAGGGAACCAAATAGCATCAGTGGTTTCTCAAAGGAAGCAAAACTCTTCCCATCCTTTTCCACCAGGAGGGGGGTGGGACATGAAGCCAAGCAGAGAAGTAGTTTTTCAGAAAGGCAGCAGTGAATAAAGAGGTGTCTGTCAGAGCCAAAAGAGACATTTGCTAAGACAGTCCCGACCCCGGGACGGTATTCCTGTACTTGGGCCCAAAACAAGAGAAACCAGGCTTTGGAAATTGAGCAGTACCAGGGTGAAAGACTTTTCCAACCCACGTGGTCATGTAGCCATTCTCCTTGAAGTACTGGGGGATGGTGGAGAAGTTTCCAGCATGCTCCCTCCAGTAGGAATTGAAGTCATACAGGCGGGTGGTGTCGGGTCTCCTCCCGGTGAGGAAGGACACATGGCTCGGGGCACACACTGCTTGCTGTTAGGGAGCAGAAGCAGAGGTAAATGTCCTGACAGCAGAGCATGTCCGTCATCTCTGAGGTAATCAAGCAACCTCTGAGGTCCTTGGCAAACAGCCAGGCGGCTGAGTCATGCAGATCCCACAGCCAACCAGTGGGATGTGGGCCTCACCCATGTGCCACAGAGAAGTCTTTCCACCAGGTATTTGTACCCTCCTACGTGGTTGTGCCCCATGTGCATAGAGTGGGCAGCGTTCTTGGGGACAGCTCCATGAGGGGCCTCAGGGAGGAGGGCCACCATGGCCAACTGGTTGACGTTTGCCCAGGGCCCAGTCAGCAGACCTGAGGATGGCATTTTGCAGCAGCCCACGCAATCCTTCCTTCTGAGGGAAAGCTGGCCAGGGCTAAACTGAGCACATTAGGGCCAGGGCACACACTCTTCACAAGGATGAGGGGCACCCTTGAAGGCCCAAACTTCCTTGTGAGTGGACAACCGGATTTTCTCAACCTGCATTTGCCAGACTATGTTCCCCTCTAACAAAGAGATACCTGGCACAATCGGCACTAACAATAGCTGAAGGCGACCTCAACCCTCACTGCAGGAGGAGGCACATACTCTCACTTAGGAGTCCCCAGACATAGCTGGGCAAAGGTATTCTGGAAGACTAGGCTGTGGGATGCCAGCTGGTTTGGGGAACTTACTGGTTTGATTATGCAACTTGACATGGTAGGACAAGGATGTGCTCTAGAAAGTATAGAAAATATCTCCCGTAAGAGAGTGAGGGAAATAGAATTGGACAGAAAGTGGAGTTGTACCCTGATACAGTTGAATCAGGGGAGCTCTGCAGTTGGGAAGATTCTCCAGAGATGTCCCAAATAGAGGCTGGGGGCCTGACCTTTGTACTTCCCACCCTTAACTGATCCTTTGACCATTTTTGGGATAGGGACTTAGCTGTGAGTCATTATGAAACAACAGTCCTGTCAGCTGGAGAATGTCAGTTTGTTTATGAGGCAGGGATGTGGGAGGCACCACAGCATTCATTACAGTCTATTCCTTGCAGTGCTCAGATTGACTTGCTTCCCATAGGAAGCTGATCTCATTTGAAAACAACAACTCCAGGATTTGGCCCCTTTTCCTAGGGAAGTTCACATGAGGAAGGGTAGTGGGACAATTTATGATGCCCACTGCTACAGCTGGTTTTGAAGCCACAATTGATACTTATGGTCTCTCTCATCTACAGTGCATTCTAGAGTCCCCTCAGTCTCAGCCAGCACCTTTACTGTTCTTGGTAACTTAGCTGGTAGTGTAACATAGACCTTCATTCCTGAGGGTTCTAAGCCCCTTGCCCCCATGCCCTTCTTAGGCTGTGGAAGCTATCCTTGTTCACCTGTCATAGACACTAGGCAAGGGACTACCAAGAGACATTTAAGTGGATCATCTGCACCAAACATAGCCCTTTATGTTCCCCTGTGTAACAGCAGCCCTGCCTCCTGATGAACAGGACCAATACCCCTGAGAGGATGGTGGCTCTTCCCTGCTGGTGGTCCCAGAGCATGAGAAGACCAAAGCGCCCATGACTTGTAATTCAGTTGTTGGCCATGGCTTGTAGTTCAGTGAGACTTTTATTGTGTCTCTCTGTGAAAGCAATTTTTTTTTTTCTTTTTGTCTTTTTTCGTGACCGGCAACGGGATCGCAACCCTCGGTGTTGCTCCCGCACCTCGCTCAGCCAGTGAGTGGCCAGTCTGTATGTGGGATCCGAACCCTCAGCGGGAGTGCCGCCGCGCTTCCCAAGCAGCGCACTGTAGCACTGCGCCACCGGGCCGGCCCTCTGTGGAAGCATTTTCATTCGTGGACCCAGGATGCCTGGACAGCACTGTGCCATAAGGTAGCCACTAGCCACATGTGGCTAGTGAGTTGTTGAAATGCGGCTGGTACAACTGTGGAACTGAGTTTTTAATTCTATTTTATCTTAATTCATATTTAAATAGCGAAATATGGCTATTGATGACTGTATTAGATAATGCAGTTGTAATCTCACAGAACCCAAAGTTGTGGGGGCAGGAAGCACACATTCCCATGTGGATCACTGGGAGAGATGATAAGTGGGGTCATTCCACCCCTTGGTTCCCTGCTTCCAGACACAAAGTGGCCTACATGGCACTGTGCTTTCTTAGTTGTGAGAAGGGTGAGATGCAATCATTTGTCCCTTACTTTGGAGGGGAAGTCCTAGCGTGCCTCGAACCTCCAGACCCCTGAATACTTCACTGATATAGTAGTCCCCTGAAAGTCTGTAGGGTTTATCTACCACCCTCTGAAGTGCCTTTGTCTTTCTAAGGCTTCTAACATCCCTGCCAGGTCTTGCTCATCTGGTTGTTAACATGATGTCACTGATATAGTGAACTTTGGATCCTGGGTTGGGGGATAATTGTAGTGGCTAATCATATATAGTGCATGAGCTAGAACAGGAAGCATCTACCATTGCTTACATGTGCTAGGAAAGCTATTTCCAATGTACAAACTTCCTGCTAGATTTGCCCAGATCAGGGGGAGGATTTCCAGAGCTCCTGGTTGTTGGAAGTGCTCTACCAGGAGTACGGAAATCTGCAACGACTCACTCTCTTTTCCAGAGGACCCTCACCCTGAGGGATTTAACTGGACCCTGCTAAACATGCTGGGAGACTGTCACTTAAAAAAAGAGCAGTGGCAGCAACATGTGGCTTTCTTGGAGCACACCCACAATGCCCCCAGAAACAAGAACACCGGATTTTTACCTTCCTCTTTTGATGTTTGGCTGCCATTGTTTCTAGTTTGGGGGTTGGAGGTAGAGATGACACATGTGTTGGAAACTTTTGGGGGGGCTGCTAGCCTCAGGGACAAACTGCCAGAATCAAGCCGGGCAACTGTGGCTGGATCAAGGTGGCCAGAGCTACATGATAGAGAGTGAGGATCAGGACATATGAGCTGAGAGCTGGAGGCCCAGCCACTGCCCATGTTAGAGTAGGAGGTCATGAAATAAGGGATCACAGTGGGTGGGACAGGATTAATTAATGGACTCCACAGAAATAACCCATGGCTCTTAAGAGAGCTTAATGGAGAAGCTTTTCCTGGGTACTCAGATACCAAAGAGTTTGGTGGAGGCAGAAAGGACATCTTCCCAAGCAAAAGATTAGAGTAGCTAACTCTGATTCCATGGAGGGTGAGGAGTGTGAGTCCAGTTGTGAATCAGAGTGGGAAGACAGGTGGTGACCAGGGGACAGGGTGATGACCTGCAGTGCTGCAGAACAGGCCTATCTGTAACCTGGTTCTCAGTCCCTGACTCAGGGGAACCACCAAGGACACCATGGAGTGTAAGGAGGGCCAGAAGATCTGAACACCCAATCTCTGTGATAGGGCCCCTGTCCCCTGAACAGGCCTGGGAGAAGGCATATAGAAACACTCCCCGACTCCCTCAACAAACACATCGGCTTCATAACTTACATATTCTCAGCTGGTGGAAACAACCAGGGAAGATAAATACACAGCTGCACTTGCAGCTCTGGTGCCCATGAGGCATTGTGGGTATCCGCTCTGGAGAAATAGCTTGGACAATGTCCTGGCTCCTATTATTAATTTTTTTTTTATCGTGGTAAAATATAAGTAATGTAAAAGTCACCATTTTACCCATTTATAAATGTAGAGTTCAGTGGCATTAAGTACCCTCCTGTTGTGCAACAATTACCACTCCAGCTCCTGTTCTTGGGATAAGAGATCCAAGATAGAAGGTGGTATCTTCTCGAGGACGCAGAGTTTGACTTGCAGGAGGATCATGCAAGGGTCGTATGTGAAGACTTTCTCTGGTGGTTCACTGTATGTTTTCCCCCAACACATTGCTCTCACTTTTATCCAAAAGGTCATGTCCCCTCCTCTAGCTCCCATTGGTTCGGAAACAAGGATTCAGGGAAACTGCAGACCCAACACCAGAATTCCCAGATGCCTGCTTGTGGAATTGTGTGCCTGCAAGAGACTAGGTAAGACTGGGCTGGGGGAAGGGGAGACAGAGGGGTGAGCATCAACCTGACCGGAAGAGAGAAGGTGGTCTGGGGGGCAAGGAGTCCTTGGAATGGGAAGGAGAGGAGAGCTTGACGTGGCAGGCACAGGGGAGCTGAGTGGAGGAGACTCTGAGGATGAGCTTGGACCTATTTGTCTTTCCCCAGCTGGATCATGCCCTGTGGGCATTCTCTTTGGACACCTATAAGCCCCCCGAGAGAATGGCGAAGTCAGACATTACCGCCAACTTGAGGATGGGAGCATGGACTAGACAGAAGCAGCAGAGGATTTCACCTTGAGTGAGGAAGAAGGGTCTTAATGTCATTGTTACAATTCCCTGTTCTTGGTTCCCCATTGCCACTCCTCACCTCAGAACCTGCAAGCCCAATTCTCAAATGATTATTTGTTTCCACATCTTTCTGCAAGGGGTAAGGCTAGAACCTACTTGGAGACTGTGTTTGGCTCATACTGTGCCTCTCCAAACACCATTCTCCTATCAGCCCAGCCACAAGAAGAATTTGACTCCTGTTACTGAGCCTGTCCCTGGGAATTGGGAGACAGGGGCTCTCTGCCAAGCTCTGCCATTAACTGCCTGAGAGACACCAGCTCCCCATCTTTAGGGAGTGCTTGTGAGTGTGGGTGTGGTAGTCTGTGTGGGGGTGGAGGTGGGATGATCTCTGGGGCTGACCTTTTAGGCTTCTCTGTGTCTTTATTGGATTCTTTAGCCACTTGCCTCCTGCTTGCTCCATGAAAGGCAATGGTCTCTGACAGGTGAGATAGAAAAGTGCCCTTATGTTGGAAAGAAAGCAGGTGGAAGATGGGCTCTGCTCCTGTGGGTATGCCTGCTTTCCTGCTGTCCCATCCTCGAGGCTAGCACTATCAGTTCAGATCCACTGTGGGATCATTGGAATAGGAGCTTTAAATATTTGATAAGCTATGAGGTTTCATTCATTGCCTATAAAAGAAAGGGTTGCGCACGTGTGTGCGCGTGTGTGCGTGCGTGCATGTGTGTGCGTGTGTGTGAAAAGCTGCTCAGATAGTAAAGATGGTCAAGCTCCTGTCATCCACAGGGGGAGAAGGGCAGGAAGCACAAGTTTCATCAGTGCTTATAAACCTTAGATTGTTCCTAGGCTTCGTCACTCACTGGATGTATAACTCTAAGCAAGTCCCTTTACCTCTTTGGACCTCAATTTCCTTATCTGGAAGACAGATACAATATTAAAATCTCCCCATCAAGGGGTAATAATATTTTTCAGCCTACCTCATGGAGGTGAGGATGACACAAGATGATTCATGTGAGAGTGATTCGAAAACTGTAAAAGCCCTCTACTTCTAATAGTGGTGAAGATGCATCTCTGTTGTCCCAGGAAGGCCTTGATAAATATGAAAGAGTGTGGGGATGCTGGCCTGAGCCTTAAAGCCAGCAGATGGGAGGTTGGCAGACAGTGAAAAGCATCAAGCTTGGAAAGAAGAAAGAAGTATAATGAGACCTCAGGCCCCCAGTCCCGAAGTTTCTACAGAATGTGGCCTAGTTGGGGACTCAGATTCCATCCATGGATTTTGACCAAAGATGTATAGTGGCCCCTGAGGCCAATGGGGAGAGCTGACTCAGATAAACCAACAGGTTTGAGAATTGGGGGCTGTTTCAGCACCAGGAATCCATAATGTTGGGAACCTCTTCCTTAATCTGTGTAGGGGTTGATGCCAGGCTGCTGCCTAAGGCAGTATAGAGCCACAATCTGTTATCCACAATTCCCTAATCCATAAAGCTGTGGCAACCAAAAGGTTTTTCATAAGCTTGACCTACATTCTTTTAGTAGCAAATTGACATGAAACTATAGATTTTATTTATCCCACTTGGTATTAATATTTATACGTTTCACAGCAGAAATGTCAATGTGTTTGTTACACTTTGCAAGGGTGTTTCTGATGTATGAATATGGTCTCTGCACCCCATCCCCTGTCCGAATTCTGAAAATCATCTGGCCTGAAGGCTCTTGGATGAGGGATTGTGCATGTCTGATACTAACACCAGGAAGAACTGACATTTGGGCCAGGGTTCCTGAATGTGTGCTCTTCAGGCTTCACCTCACAGGGATTCCCTTCCCAAGACAGGCAGGACTGAGGTTGTGCCCCAGTTCAACCTGGGTGTCGGGATACCCCATCCTCCAGCTGAATTGTACCAGGTGTGTGAAATCTCATTTGGTACCATGCACATATCTCCTTGGTGGAAATGGGATGAACATAAGGCAAAAAATAGGAAATGCCCTTGGTGAGTGTGTGTGTACACTAGTCATTTATATCAGTGAAGTCTGCCCATGGAGTCTTGTAGCAGAAGATGCTGCACCCTGTGTAGTCTCCCAGTGCAGTCACACAAATCCTGGGCCCACCCACACAATTCTGGGGTGTTGTCTGATTTAAATCTCTGATTTTGAGATATAGGGACAACACACGAAGCTTGACAACATTAGCTCACCCAGTTTGTACTTTCATGGCATGCTCTTCCTAAGCGTTGAATGGGAAACACAGCAGGAAGAGATGAGCTAAAGGGTGCCGTAGTGTAGTCTGCTCCAAATTACCCTGTGGCGCAGCCCCTTCTGTCCCTGGGAAGCCTTTTGGTTAACTTTTGACAGAATGGAAAGATCCCTGAACGCAGCTTTTCAAGGGAGGTCTTTAATTGTCTCATTTTTCATGGTCTCAGCTTTTCTCCCCATGAGGAGTCTGAAAGGAGATCTTAGTAGGACTAGCAGCTGATTTTAGAGAATGTTAAGTAGGCAAGGTGGTCAGGCAAGACCAGTTAGCTCAAAACGGAAGCAACAACTGCTTCATGCAGCGTAGCTTCATTGCGCTTGTCACTGTCACACGTTCAACCGTCATTTTCTTCATCAAATCAGTATAGATTGCAGAGGGTAAGTGAGGGGGCTTTGCACCCTTGTAACTGGCTTTGGGTCCTGCCTTTGTCATTTACTAGCTGTGTGACCTTAGATAGCTTACCTCCATTTTCTCATCATGTAAAATGAGGATAGTGGAACCCACACCCCAGCGTAAGGATATGCTCTAGCCATAAAGCGCTTCAGGTGGTGGCACACAAGACTCACTCACTTCATATTTGATAGCTAACAGTAATAGCATTGAAACTAATCTGGGCCCTGAATTGTAAAATGCACATTTTCCCTGAGCAGAATTGGGGTTTTCTGCCAGTCCACGATCTGGAAGCTCTCTCTTGCCTGTCCACCCCTGCTTCTCTGCCTCGTGACCTTCCATGTACACTCGTTGCCCATGAGGACATACCATAATCATCCTCATAGCACAAGGCTGAGCAGCCCAGACCAGTGCCCTGGCCTAGGTCTGTTTGTGGTGGTGTGGTTTAGTGGTTAAGAAGCCAGGGTTTAAGTTCCATCTCTTCTGGCTTTAAGACCTTGGACCAGTGACGGCCTTCTCCAAGCCTCAGTTTGCACATCTGTACACTGGAAATAGCAACAGTGCACAGTCCCTGAGGCAGCAGTGAGGATTCAGTGAGTTGAAGTCTGGGATGAATTTGGTCCACAAGGATGTTATAGGAAGGAGAGACCAGAAAGCTGTGTTGTGGTCTTTGCCTCTGTTTGGACCCCACCTTGGTCTGACAATGGTGTGAAAAGTGCTAATGCCATCCTGCCTCCAGCCTGCTTTTGTATCTCTCTAGGAACTTGTTCTTTAAGCAGCTTGTTATTGATGTAGAAAACTTGTTACACAGGAAAGGGAAAACCAGAATTGCCTCGATCATAGTGGTCATGGAAAAGGCTCTCAGAAAAAGGCCCCATGAAGCTCTGGAGCCTGTCTGGGGTCTATCATTCAGTTGAGTGAGCATCACATGAGCACAGGCTGAAGTCTCACATGCCTTGGGCTGTGGCTTCATAACTGAAAATATTTCACTGGCCAAGGTGGCATCTCTGTGAAGTTCACAAGTCATGGTGTGGGGCCCAGGAAAGCCAGCAATTGCTGCAGCTGTGCCTCAGCAGGGCTGTGGTGGAGCAGGCCCAGAAGGCCAGGATCTGGATTCCACAGGCTAGAGTCTGGCCAGGCAGGCAGCACCTGCTACCCAAAGCCCCTGCTTAGTGAGGGCCTACTGGAGGCTGGGAATGGGCCCCTAGGACAGCTGATTGTGGGGTTCACTTTTCCTGATGAGACCTAAGGAATTTTAACAGTGGTCCAGGGTCACACAGTGGAGCTAGGGTTAAAATCAGATCTCTGATTCCAGAGCTCACTCTGCCCCATCATGTGACTGCTCAACCATGATCAATCATAAAGATGAGGACCAGGCAGCCAGCTGGGGGCAAACTGGTGTTTTCTGCCCTGGGTACAAGGTTGGGGATAGGACAGGGGGCTTCAAGACTTTGCTCCTGCCCAGGATTCAGAGGTAACACTTAGGCTGTAAGGTTCAATGGAGAGAAATCCCAGCTATGAGCTCTGAGGACTTTTGAAACTGTTTTATATGTGAATACACACGCCCTTCAGCAAAAATCTCCTGTGACATGCCTTTCTCCCCTGAGGGTTTTTATTGGTCCCTTAATGACTCTTTGAGAAGGTTCCCATACTGATAGACTTTTTAATGATGTTACATAAAATATCATGTCACACCTATTCCACAAGGGATGACATCTGTCACTTCCTAAATGCCACATTTCTTCAAAAAGTAGGCAGATGACAACGTGCAGTACAGAGAGAACTCATGTCTTGATAAAAACAGAATTAATATTCTTGGCAAAGCATGTCCTCCCTTTTAATAATTAGTTTCATGTCATAGAAAAGAAGGCTGATTTTCCTCACCCAGCCAGCAAGGTTGCTCTTCTTTCTACATATTTTGGCATAAACTATTGAGGTTGTGATGGCACTGATCTGATGAGGTGTGTGGTAATCAGATGTGCTTTCTAAGGTCCTTCCTCCTACATTTCTGCTTTTTTTTTTTTTTTTTTTTTTTTTATTTCAGGCTGTCTTTAGCTGT